AGCAGGCAGACCTATGTTACATGTATAGATACGGCCACTCTTACACCTAGTCAACAATAGCAGGCAGACCTATGTTACATGTATAGATACGGCCACTCTTACACCTAGTCAACAATAGCAGGCAGACCTATGTTACATGTATAGATACGGCCACTCTTACACCTAGTCAACAATAGCAGGCAGACCTATGTTACATGTGTAGATACGGTCCCTCTTAAGGCCTATTTACACGATGCGTCATAGACGTACGTCTAGGACGTACGTCCAAAACGCACCGTGTAGGACAATGCAAATGTATGACCCTTGCGATATCGGATGCACAGGACGGATGTTCTAATTTCTTCCGACATTGCGTTTGCATTGTTATACATGGTGTACACATGGTTATAATAGGCCTTTACACCAAGTCTCTTCAGTAGCAGACAGGCCCATGTTACATGTGTAGATACGCTCGTGTTACATCAAGTCTCAACAGTAGCAGACAGGCACATGTTACATGTGTAGATACGGCCCCGCTTACACCAAGTCTCAACAGTAGCAGACACGTACATGTTACATGTGTAGATATGCTCGTGTTACACCAATTGCTGAATTCTATATTGTTGTGAATATAAAACGTAAATTAATATGAATTCTTTTGAAGTCATTTATTGGCAGTTGCCAGTGGTTGGCAAGGGGAATGGCGGTTCGGAATGCTAGTGAAGCAAGCACTACTAATCTGAAATTGCAATCGTTAGCATACACAAGTGTTTTGTAAAAACAAACTCCCGCGCTTTTCGATATGCAAAATTGGCTAATTTGTGCATTTGCGTTTTTGTGTGGATCAGGCGATTGGTGGCGAGTCGTCTCGCTCGCTGATGGACCACATGTCCGACGTGCTCTTTGCGCTTAACAAGCACTACTACGATCACCTAGGCAACTGGATGATGGCCTTCGTTAACCAAGATGGATTTCCGTCGCCCAGGGCTCTCAAACAGCACAAGGAAAATTTCACTCGGCACATACTTAGGTGAGTGCGTCTGTTAGTGTGTTTATAAGTTTAAGATAGCTTTACTGAATCGAGCACTAGAGAGGGCCAGTCTGGTTGGCTGACGTGAACAACGGCATTAGTTAGTAAAATCATTAATGCATTGGTGCTCACAAAAGCTGCAAGATGAGCCCTATGCATATTGCCTCTGTTTCTGAGATGCTTAGTTCAGTGTCTGTCACAGAGAGAGAACGCACAAAAGGAAGCTACGGGAAGTGGTGACCGAATTCACACTACTGTGTAGAGGTCTCATCGGCACAGAGTATGCTGCTGCTACCGCCCTAAGCTGATTCGAGAGGGAGCCACCGTCTGCAGAACTGAAGGCAACAGGGTCATTCTCCAGCATTAATGCTCGAGATTATTCACTAGGAAAGCTTGAAGGTATAAACAGTTAATATCGCTGCTTTGTGCGCATGAGTGAATATATGCGAAGCTACTAATAATGGTATAATCATGATAGACTGTGATGGGAACAGGATCAACTTGTTAAGTTTCAAACACAGTTTTGAGATGTGGCAACCTACTGACTGTGATGGCAACCAAGCCCTTGCCCACTCCATAGGTAGTATCTAGTGTATCCATTTATATTCCTACAGGGAAATGAGATGCAAATAGATATTTCATGAGGAACAACAGTTCAATATCAGGAAGTGTAGACGAGTAGCTTATATTAGGCATGACACATTGCACTAGATGTTCTCCAGTTGAGCACTTAATGGGTGTGGACATATTGAAATATCACCAAGTTAACCACCAAGCATACCAATAACCAACAGATACTTCCAAATCTTTCAATCAGACCTATTTTGTACCACTGGTGTTGATCGTTTTTGAACAGATTCATCTGGCTATGAATTTATCATCAAGTGTGCAGAGGTTAGGGTTCCAAGGAATTTGTAAACCCAAATATTGTTGTACCATAATTACTCTCGTTTCTAAATGAATTATGGCAGGTACAAATTACCCTCATGGCCTTCAGTATACCGTTAAAACCAGAAGAAATTGTTTTCAGTTAATATTGTATTTATTTTCACAATTATCTCAATGTATTTATAACTGTAAAAAGTATCGATTAACAATACGTGTGTGTATATATTATATGTACAGAAGTGTAAATAAATTAAAAATAATTGAAAAATCATAGAATATAGTAATATATAATACTTTTAACATGCATTTTAACACTTCATTTAACTGATCATTTATCAACTTTTCAGTATTCATCATTCATGTTTTGGTTCATCCATCACTCACTGAAGGAGTTTATTTATTAAATTATCCACTCAATAATTGCATTAAACTATGAAATGATAATGTGTTAGGGTAGGAAGATATAATGCATGCTGATAAGAAATCAAGATAACATGCATGGAATATTTTCTTGCAGAATCTCAATGAGGTTCATAGCACCTCTCACTGTGTAGGAACTTTGATTCCAAGCTCTTGCAAACCCATTGCTTTATGACAATCTTGTACTTGCGCTGCCTAGCTCTGTTCACAGACCGTAGTTCAGAGAGACGTGACGTATCCCTGTGAAAAATGGAGAACGACATTGACACCAATTTGTCATTGATTATTTGTTTGGTAAACAATCCCAATTGAAATTCTCATCTCATGTCAGTGCACCATCGCATCAATGCACCCACCATTCTCACCTCAGTGTTGTGCTCGATGGCAAAAATATCCGCCATGAAATTTGACCTAACAATGATTATAGTCGCAGATGGTCAATTTGAATATAATAGACTTTTCTTTTTATATAATTTAATATAATATAATAATATAATATAATTTAAAGGCATAATAGGCCCATTGATTATGTAAAGTTGACGAATGCTAGAGTAACTGGCACCTTGTGTAGTTAATAAGTACATAACCTTACATCCAAACGCGTATCAGCTTGTCCAATATCACTGCTGGTTACTAAGAAATGTCTAATTGAAATCCGCGGTCAAATAAATCGGTTGTTTACAGTTTCAAACCGCAGCCACCGAAGGGGTGTGATACAGATTATAGTGCACCGGATATTTTCGCACGCATGCTCGGACGTACGCAATGCTATCATCAGTGATTTCAATCCTTGTGGTCTGAGTGCGCATTCGTTCATGCAGTATCTCTGCGCACTGGTAGATCATCTCCAGCTGTTACCGTTCAGCTGCTTGAAAGCTCAGCTGGCACGCTAGCGATAATTGTAATGAACGTGGAATCCACGTACGAAACACGGACCACCGCTGGCACCTCCATTTCATATGGCGTCCAAAACATACGGGCCGAACAAATGTTTTACGTCATCGCTCGACTCCTGGATGACATTTACGGCACATAAATGATACGTTGATAATATCAACAACCGATTTCAAGTCTTGTTTGTAATGTAACCAGCAGTGATATTGGACAAGCTAATACGCGTTTGGATGTAAGGTTATGTACTTATTAACTACACAAGGTGCCAGTTACTGTAGCATTCGTCAATATTGCATAATCAATGGACCTATTATGCCTTTAATATAATAACTTTCTTAGGGCCAACTTTTATGTACTTTCACATGTTTGGATGCCAAAGTGTAGACTTTGTGGTACATTGTAACTAACCACCGCCTTTTCAAATGTCCTATCGTAACAGTGACAATCTAGAGCTGCCTGTCAATCACGCTAGGCAGATAGGTCATTTACCTTTCACAAACGACGACGTGTGTCACTCTATCGTCTGTATAATCGGCAATTGTCGCTCCGTGAAATCTCAGCTCTAGCTCTGTCAGCTCGAGGCTAGAGTTCTTAATCACTGTGCTGCTTTCACCTATCACACGATATCGATCCACGTAGACCCTGCAAGGTAATCATTACAATAATGAACATCGCTGCGCAAAGAGTAACCTTGTAAATAAACAATCACACACTGACATTTTAAGACTGTAAAGAAAGCTGCACATCAATGCAGTTACATCTGTTTCTTTTTTTGTATAGATGCACTAATGATTTATGTAAATAATAATACATAATTCAATCCTGTGTCATATAACAATCTATTATTATACAATGCCAACAATAAATCCATTAGTCTCTGAGAAGGCCTAACTGTGCATAAGATGAGATTATAACTTAATATAATCTGATAATATGTGTTTCTTCACTATAACTGGTGGCACATACAGAAGAATACCTGCATAATCTGAACACACCCAGCAAGGGCTCGTTGGGCCAATACTCCTGTTCAAGTTCTGCGATCCTATCAGGTGTCATCGTCTCTTTTGCCTGTAAAATTCATTAATTATACTTCACACTTACCAGCGTCATTTTAATATAATTACATGTACAACGTACGTGATTTATATGAAGTATGCAATACACATGTTACTGTCTACATGTATGGCATGATCGTACAGTCTGATGTGTCGGCAGTGTGTACTGGCACCACCAGTAGTGTCACGGCTGGCTCGTAAAATAATACCTCATCCGAGACTGCCATTAATGCTGTCTTTAGCTGAGACGGTGTTGTGTCAGTCGTGTAGCTATCGCCGGAGGCGTCAAAACCATCGGCAAAATGACGAGTCGTCGCTGGTGATGCGTGCAGCATGTCGGCAGGAGACCTTGTCATCACACCGTGAACATAAACACACATTTATGGCGTTTGTTATAATTCATTATAAACGAACGTATATTAGTACGTCACGAATCGTACGTTGGGAAGACGTGAGAGTTCTGTAGGAAGGAAGCACGTGAGCGCAATTACCACTCGGTGAAGGTGTTCCGCTCCACGCAGCGAATGAGCCAGCTTGCTCTTACGACGTCGTAGTCGTCATGCTCGATCATGTTTCGAACCCGCAGGTTCACCTTGTCCGTGACGACGCACCATGTTCTCTCACCTGCGAGAGTGAAAATACTGTCATCTCAGTGTGCTGCACAGAGTCTGCTAGGAAAGAATTACGTAGTGCCACATGCCTACGAGATATTCACCAGCGCAAACACCGTTCCTATATATACACCAAATACTACTACAGGGGTAGAAATTAACTTTTGAAAAAGGGAGTCCAACGGTGACCTTACCCTCAAAAAGAGGGAGTTCGCAGTCTGAAGTTAAAAACTAAAGCATAACAACAATAGCGCATGTGCTTATTTTGAAGATTCGTGCGATGCACGTCTGCCAAATTTTCTTTGGACATTTGCTGTAAAAATACGATAATTCCGCGAGGCCGTGCTCTGGAACGAACTATAGTTAGTATATCAGAATTTTAAGGGAGTCACACGGACTCTTGCATATGTCAAATCAGGGAGTATTTGACTCCGGACTTGCATTAATTTCGCACCCTGCTACTACAGGGAGAATGTGTCAGTTAATTTGTGTGTACTATCAAATGGATACACGAGCGTCGTTAATGGAAATGCATAAAGTATCATCTATGGGCGTTCCGTTCTTTAGATGTGGTTTCACCGTATAACGTCCACTCAAGAGAAATGCCAAAGGTGCCTTTTATTACAGCCAGGTGTCCGTTTTATAGGGGTGACCCCCTAACACAGGTTTGGCTCTACATACAGCGAATATAGTGTGTGAACGAGTCATGTATTTTGAGTGTACCTGGATGTTGAACAATAGTGGCACCATGTTCAACGGCCATCTTCTCCAGCGTCTGCTTGGAATGGCTTGGCGGGCCATTGACCACACATATCTCGCGACCTTGAAGAAGTTCTGACAGCTAAGAGCAACAATGAAACAACCATCGTTTTTACACCTTAAAGACTGCAGTAACATTTGATTGATAATAAATGTAGATTACAGTGAGCTCGCAATCACTGTTACACCGCAAAGCTAAGGATGCTAATAAAGTTTTAAAAAGGAGGATAATAGATTACCTATGCACGTGACCAATGTGACACATTGGGCTATTGGATGACGACACATAGATATTTAACGAAATAGGCTACATATTGGGTGATTGAACGATCACACTCGCTATATCTTCCCTGTGAGTAAATAACCACCTTTTTTAAGCCGGTAACGTCAGCCGGTTGAAACTGCGCAGGCACGGAGATAGTTTGCTCTGCTTTGTATATGCGACGTTTCTTCACTGCTGGCATCTCCGCATCATCGTCCTCACGTAGCGCAACATGACGCGACGCCAACTTGCCCTCGGCATTCTGAACAGAACAATGGCTACATTCTCAGAGAACAGTGACATTCGCGTTGCAGCAGCCAAGTGATAAATTGCTTGGAATTCACTAACTATGGTGCAACCTGTCTATAAGGGACACTCAAGGGAAATGCCAAAAAAATGTCATTGATAGACAGGGATTCGTTCTATGGAGGTGTAATGCCACTCATAGGAAATGCGAGTGTCCTTTACAGACAGGTGTCTATTCTTGGTGATTGCTAATGCGGGTTTGAATGTATATGATCATGATTGTTAACTAACAGAGAAAGAACAAGGTTTGAAGGAATGACCAAACGTAACATAACTTTATCGAATACACAGACATTCTATTCATGATAAGACAATAACGCTGTAACTGAATGAAAGTGTCAATGACACTGTAGCTTATCACAATGAAAGTGTCAATGACACTGTCTCACCACAAAAAAGGACACAAATGAGTGAGTAAGAAGAAGTCAGTTTTAATTGAGCAACCATCGACGTACATTATAGAAACGATTGCCATCTGTATATCGCAATAATAATTTATAAACCAAAATGAATCACAATTTGTGACCGTAGATGGCGCTATACCCGCTTTGTTAGGGCGATGGGCGTTTGAAATAAATAGTTATGCTGGCCGTGTCCGACATGTTTGTAAATCTTTACTCTAATAATAGACGTTTTAATCAGCCACGGTGAGAGGAAATAACCACATTTTGGCATTAAAGATTGGTCAGTAGAAAATCTTGATAAAACCGAACCGACGAAGTTGGTGACCACCACAGACTGTTTGGTGTCTATATAATAATGCTATATATTGTGCAAACTGCTACCTAATTTGCATAACAAAATTTAAAATATTAAAACGCCCTAGCCATTATTCATGATCACATACCGAAAAATGAGCGGAATCCCGTTGAGCCCTGAACTGACTAAATGCAATTCCCATTTTTGGCAAAAAAAAAATTTGCGCGGTGGCCTCGAAAAGTACGGTCGCCTGACTAAATAGGACGTTAATATGGGAGGCATAGCCAGTAATCAACTATACCCCCAAAATTTCAAACAGCATGTGGGGACCAAACGGTTCCTGAGTTATCGTTGACCGAAGCGAAATGTTGACGGACGGACGGACGGACGGACGTACGACGGACGACGACCCATGGCAATAGCTCAGCTTGACGATGTCAAGGTGAGCTAAAAATGAACGGATTTCATTAGTTGCTCACCTTTCTGAGTTCTTCCAATTCAGTTGTTGTCATGCAGTCGTACCATGCCTTGTCGTATCGTACGTGCTCTACTCTGGGAAACCTCAGTGTGCAACCAGTACCGTACTTGTCGCTTTTCGTTATTTCAGTTGCTTTTATCTGAAAATTTCCACATTATTGCTAAGACCAGTTAGCCACAACACTTACACAAAGAGCATTGATAGAGTTATGATGTCATTAAAGCCTTGTAAATCGGTCAAAAACCGTATAAATCAGTATAGAAACAGTATAATCAGTATATAAATATGTGACCCTGGCCACTGTAGTTCTGTATTTGTTGGGTCCGTGTACTAACAAGTGAGCAGTCTGAAAGCACAAAGAACGAAGCCAAGAGAGTTGTGTACTGGAGTCGGGACTAGATGAAAAGGATGTGGAATTGATGCACATGACAGGGACGCAGCAGTTAAGTTACATGCCACAATGGACCATGTTCTGTTACGTGTTACATGCCACAGTGAACTATGAACTACGCACCATGTTAAACGCCACAGCGAACTACAAACTACGTGTTGTTATGCACTACAGCAAACTACAAACTATCGAGTTCTTATGTGTTACAGTGAACTATGAATGATGTCAGGTCATATGCTACAGCCAACTATAGCAGATGAGGTCTATGTCCCCCTGACCTCTGTTTGACCTGGCTCGTTTAACTATTTCTGACTAATATATATATATATATATATATATATATATATATAATATAATATATATATAGGGTTAGGGTTAGTCAGAAATAGCTAAACGAGCCAGGTCAAACAGAGGTCAGGGGGGCATAGACCCTACGAGCCCAACTATAACCTACAGGTTGTTACATGATACAGAAAACTACGAGTTGCTACGAGTTACACGCCACAATGAACGGACTTGGCGCAGTGTAACATTCGTGAAAAGTGTGCTACAGTGTACAAGGATTTGCTACTATGAGAAAGTAAAACACCTCCCGACCACCGTAAGCTGCCCTAAACGTTGAGCAGTCGGATAATGGCCTTGGAAACATGCAACTAGGCTGAAGTTTCTCTGGTGAGAAACCTGATAAACCTCCTATTTATCTATTACATAAGTCACCGTTTACCTGTACAATGTATCCCTGTGATGGCTCCAGCCAAAGGTCTGGCTTCTCCAGTCCCAGTATGATACAGGTTGGCGGTGACTTCTTCTTAAATACCTACAGTGTGACACACAGTGCTCAATAGAACGATCACAAGGCAGGCAATAAATTAGTACTTTTAGGGCAAGGCATGTGCTGCCTTAAGCTTAATTCAAAATTTTCATGGAGCACAGCAAGTTGGAGCAGCGCCGATGCAAACGATTCCATTAAGAACCTTATCAAAACCTATTTATCTTTAATAACTTTAATGTGTATCAAAATAAAACACATGCTACTCAGTATTAGTTGGACGTGCCGTAATACAGGCCATAATAAGGTAGGGCGTACTGAGGGGCGCAGGTAAGGCAGCCACGACAGTTTATTGGCGTGGATATCAGTGAGGCTTTCAAGGGCACCACTGCAACTAAGGCTGGCAGCTATGGCACTTAACGTCTGCGCCGACGCTCAATTATATCCCTATGTCCGATTGTGCCGGCCCGTGTTTGGTTGTGCAGCTGGTGTGTACCATAGGCTGTGATTGTGCGCACTCGTGCATGCATGTTTGAGTAGCTGGACGTTGGTGTGTGCGTGGCCGTATGTATCGGTCAGTATTATGTGATCGTGCTTATGTGTACTGTAATATTGATATACGTGCTTTACGCCGGCGCCGGCGCTCAATTCTAGCACTGGCGACGATCAGACTAAGCTATCCACACTTCATGCCGAGATTGAATGACCAACATATCGAGTGCACTTCATACCTGCCATTTGTCCTTTAGCTTCACACAGAGGTCGTGAAGTTCGGTCATTGAGTAACCTGAGCCCACTCTTCCGAGAGAACGAAAAACTGTAGGGTTGTCGCCGAGTTGTTTCGCTGGTACAGCGACAGCAACCATAAAGTGGGACACCAGACCACTTCTCTTGCCAACTCCGAAATAACCACCAACGATGAGCTGAAGTAGTGAACGTCCTATTAGTTGAGGTATGCAATGCTAAAATGCCATCAACGTCTTTTACCACCACTGTCACCACAACCAGAACTATACACCACCACTGCCACAATCATCGCTGCTGCAGCGTACACCATCGCCGCCGCCACCGCCTACATGCAGTCATGATAACATAAACACATGTGTTTACAGTCTGCAGTCTATGCAGCTCACTATCACAGCTTGATTCAGAAAGATCTATGAGCAAAGCAGTCAAGAAATATCGTAACAAGGGCTAGTTAAGTCTTGCAGGTTCACATGGAAACAGAAAAGTAGAAAGCAAGGAAAAGGTCTCTGGTGGGGAAGACCGAGAAGAAACGAAAACCAACGTAAATTTTACTGATTCCGTGTGTGTAATGTACACATGTAAATAGTGCCAGGGGCTTCCAAAGCAGACTTTGTGTTGTTTGTTGTCTACTGTTTTTGTGTGTGTGAGCAAGCTGGGAAAATGGTTGTTTTTTTACCAAGTGCAATTCCAAATGCTTTCGTTTTGAAGAACCAATAACATGCCAGAACTTTCCAGATAGGAAAAACTATTCTCACCACGTCTACTTCATCCATGAGACTACCAACATATTCAGGTTTTACTTTCAGCCACCCTCCCTTGTTCCTAACATTTGGTTTGTAGATGGACGAAGGCAACTTGACTACAATTCCCTCACTCCGTTCATCGATGGCATTGTTTAATGCTTCCACAGCTTCACCTCTGCAATAATAAATGATAATGCATTAGAATTTAATATAAAATTCGTAGAAGACTATACGTCTGTCATAACATTTACTGTGAAGCAGTCATTTGTACATATGTGCATCCCGATGATAATGATATAAAAAGAGAGATTATTAAATAAAAAAATGAAAATATTAAAAAGACAAAATCATTCAAAGAGACCACTTTCCACCCTGCTTAGCATTCACGTGTACGTACGCAGTACTGGCCTCTTTTCTGTCAGTGAAGATTATTCTTCCTGTGCGTGGAGTCAGCAACTTGGACTCGTGCATGTAGCCCATGCGTTCAGTCAGTGGTTTGTTTGTGAGAACAGTGTCATTGTATAGCACAATGTCGAAGACGCAGAAAATCGGCTGAACATCCCTCCTGTCAGGCATCGTTGACTTGATGTCAATATTTTCTGCCTTTGATCCTGCAGCATGAAATAGGCAAGCCAAGTCATAATTCATGGCAAACTCATCGTTTCAAGAAATTTATTGCAGCATGACATCGCTGTCAATAACAATAAAACTGTAATCCTTCTCATAGCAAAATTTATGACAAATTTACACGCACGTAATATATGACATCGTCGGTCAAGTTTCACAGGCTTTGTGTCACGTCACTTCATAGCTCATAGAATTAAATAATCATAATTGATATTTTTGCATTTAGATTTCTTTTTCAGGACTCTAAATAACTGCCATGAAATCACTAGATTTGAAGAACTAATAAGAAATTTTTTGATCAGAAAAAACCCAGAAATAACCTTAATGTAAACCATAAATGTGTGGCAGTAAGAGTGCATTAGCAATTAGGTATGTTCTCATGTCTACCTATGAAATCCTCTTCAATGTGGTACACAAGCATTTCCCCATCAAGAATACATGTGTGAATGTCCTTGAGAAAACAGTCGGCTATGTAAGGTGTCAGAGTGCCTTCCAACGAGCTGCTTCCAAATGTCTTTGTGTACTCGTATCCCCTGTAACATTGTGTCCAATGTACGATCACAAGACTGGCATAATAAAACTTGGGACATATTCTTAAGAATAGTGTGGTGTCCTATACTTTAAATTTTAATCACATAATAAAACAGTTATGATTTTCATAAGAAGAATTAACACTGTGAATAGTATTACTAACTGACCCTCGAGAAAAGTACTTGTATTCATTTCCTTTCTTGTGAAGTTGCATTCTTTCACCGTCCCACTTTGTCTCAATGAAGAACTTACCATGACCCATCAGTTTCTCAACCTATATGAAATCATTCACACATGTGTATTAATTTGTCGAATAGTTTTCAAGATAACACTAATGCTACATAAGCAATTTTATCAAATTACTGTCAGTAATTTGTCAAAGAAACATAACGATATTCGTTTACATAGAAATTTAAGAAATGGACATATAATGTGCCATCCACTGTCTATATAGATTTATCCATGGTGACATACAACAGCAACTAATTGTAATACACAGAGTAATTTTATAATGCAGACCTTTTCCGGTGAAGCTTGTTCTGCAAGCATTGGCCTAAAACACGAGAACACAGAGATTTCCACTTCGTGTGACCTTTTGCTGCGGTCATGCAACTGCAGGCAAACCTATAAATTGAAGATAAATGATGAATAGATTTTGCCGGGATATAAAGGAAAAAATATCAAGGAAACACTGTCATGTTTTTATCGCAAGGAATTTAAAATCCTGGCAATCGTGTAGTTGTATTACTAATAGTAACGATACGTTCTATACGTTTTGACATTCTGCACACCTTTTCTAGGTTGTTTGTGACATTGTACATGTCCTCAGCATCTGGATGGAATACTTTAAATACCGATGACTGGCTAATGCCAATTTTCATATCCTTGAGGATCATTCTTATCAGCCATTTCTGCTCCAGTGCTGTGCATTCTCTAATCAGTTTCTGTAGATTCCTTGTAGCTAACACTATAAGACAAAGATGAGGTTAAAATGGTTCATATACCTTCATCCCTGAGAATAAAGATAGCATGTAACACTGTCAACACATTATGTTAGAATACCTACATACTACATGTATAGTTTTAGATGCTGAACTACAAATCGGTTATTTTATTATAAGTAAAATACTCGATAATTTGATTGAATAACTAATACAATAATGAAGAACCAAGAGAAATGCAAAACATGCGCTCGTGTCGACACACGCACATACACATAAACACGCTAAAACCCAGATTCACCCTAATGACATTGCTTTGTTCATTGGCTTTATCCAATGTACTTATCTTTCTCACTTGCCCTTTTTTGCCTGCACCTTTGTTGCTTACTAATGTTTTTAACAGGACTTTATGTCATTTATCGTTGCTTATACCAGCACCCTTGTTGGTTACATCTGTTTTTGTCAGTATCTTTGTTGCTTAAATTTGTTTTTACCAGAATCTTGTTGCTTACCTCGGTTTTTACTGACATTTCCCTCAGCAATTCCATCCAGGCAGTCATTCACATCTTTTATAGTTAATGTCCCCTTCGCAACACACCGATTCTTTAGTACGAAATATGCAACTGCTGCAAAATCTGTCCCCTGTGATATTATAAACAAGATGGCAACCATGGAAGGTATTCTAACTTATGTGGTATAGATCAGTACCAGTGGTGCAAACAAATTTATATTTACAGTGCGTTTGTCATATGTATTTACATTATCAACATTTCTATTATATGGTGGTCTCTCAGCAAGTATGTCATACTGTATATTAACAGGGCTCGAAATTCAGAGGTAATCCGCTAATCCGTAGGGTAAATTACCCTACGGATTACATGAGGAACCCTGAAGGAAATCCGTACGGATTACTTAAAAATAACTTGCCGTTACAGTGCTCCTTCCGCCTCTGCAATTATCTTTGTCTTAAAATCATTAAATGTACACAGAGCAGACACAGAGTCTGTGGTGGCAGAGCCATTATACAGCATTTCAATCAACTATCTGACAAATAGTAATGTTTAACTTTATAGGTATTATTAGCTTTATAAGGTATTTTATTCAGGACAGTTTGTCCTGCATGCAATTTTTTCTTTCATAGTAAAATTTAGCCTACCCTGTACGGATTACTTAGATTTTGAGCGGATTTGCTCATTTGTGAAGGAACAAATCCGTACGGATTAGTCCTCAAACTGGGGAAATTCGAGCCCTGTATTAACATTGTTATTTATCAATTGAGCCGTGATGTTTTGATTACTGACCTCCATTAGTAAACGAGGGATGTTTTTTTATTACTAAACTGTACATACGTAATGGTATGTATATTTTCTGTACTGAAAACGTTGCATGTGTCACGGATCTTTATAGATCAAAAAGTTCCGATGAAATGTACAGCATAGTAGAAGCACATAATACTAAATATAAGAAGTGATTCTCCACTGTTTCTGCACACATGTTGCAACTTACATCTTTTGCTTGTTTTGGAGATCTGAAATTTATTAACTTCAGAGCATCCGGACTGTCCTTAGCAATGCACAGGATCTTTATATATTCTTTAGCCAATGTAGTCTGAATTTCAAAAAAAAAAACAATATGAAAAAAGGCTAATAGCAATTAGATTATTCGAGACAAAAAAAATATAGTGGAAGTTCGCTAAACTACAGAGTACTTTAAATGTAACATGATACATGCTTAACCTAGGAATCCTCCCCTTACACTCATCAGCATACTTCTGAAAAAGTTCTGCTTTTGGCATATTACGTTGATTAGAATACTAGGGCTCCTTTAATCACGCTATCTACACATTCTATTCCCTAGAAATTTTGTATCAATAGGTAGGGGTGTAACGATATACCGGTATATCGGTATATTGCAATATATTTTGAAAACTCGATATATCGCGATACAACTTCCGGATATCGATATTTTACGATACGGTGGTATAACAAGAAATAAATTACTTGACACTTGCCTTCATGTCTATATTGTTAATGGGCTCGAAAATTATGCACTGGCGGTGTATATATTACGAAAGCACAATGCCTGCACGACGCATACAGTATTACTGGTAAGCAACCACTGCATGGAGCACTGCGCGGTACTACTGCGCGGGCAGAGTGGGGCAGCCGTGTGCGCAAGGCAGAGAGCACGGCAACTAGGGAGTCTATATATAGCCTATATGCTCACCTGAGTGCCCGCGCGCGCGCGATACAAGCTGAAGCGAGCACCCACTGTTTCAGTTTCAGTTTTAGTTTCAGTATCCAGTATTAGCCAATTATGCAGCAGGGGTATTGTGTATTCCAGCTACGTCAGTGCCTTCCGAGAGGGTATTCGGGTTTGTCTATATTCAGGCCGGTACAGGAGATAATTTGCATATTTTATCACGTGGTTTGTGTTATAACCAATCAGATGTAATCGCGTGTTCGGACGTCAATTCCAGCTGTGAAGAAGATGGTGAAGGAGGAGGAAGGGGAGAAGGGAGAAGGTGGTGGAGAAGGAGGAGGGGAGAAGCTGGTGGAGAAGGAGGAAGGGGAGAAGGGAGAAGGTGGTGGAGAAAGAGGAGGGGAGAAGCTGGTGGAGAAGGAAGGGGAGAAGGGAGAAGGTGGTGGAGGAGGGGGAGAAGCTAGTGGAGGAGGGGAGAAGCTGGTGGAGAAGGAGGAAGGGGAGAAGGGAAAAGGTGGTGGAGAAGGAGGAGGGGAGAAGCTGGTGGAGAATGAAGAAGGGAAGAAGGGAGAAGCTGGTGGAGAAGGAGGAGGTGGTGGAGAAGGTGGTGGTGAAGGTGGTGGAGAAGGGAGAAGGTGGTGCCAGGGAGAAGGGCACCTCCCTGCCACCTTCTCCACCACCTCCTCCTCCTCCACCAGCTTCTCCCCTCCTCCTCCACCAGCTTCTCCCCCTCCTCCACCACCTTCTCCCTTCTCCCCCTCCTCCTTCTCCATCAGCTTCTCCCCTCCTTCTCCACCGCGATTACATCTGATTGGTTATAACACAAACCACGTGACAAAATATGCAAATTATCTCCTGTACCGGCCTGAATATAGACAAACCCAGGGTATTCAGTACAGCGGGTGACATTGTTACGGCACAGAGGGTTGCACTGTCAGCGGAAAACATTGCCGTGCTTCTGTTTCTCAAGAAAAACATGAGAAATTAAATCATGTCATATAATACAATATATGATGATATTAAAACCATCAAATTGTTACTATATCATGCATGGTATACACTTCCCAATACGTATTGGAAAATATTGCAATACGGTTTTGTCGTATTGCAATATATTGCAATACGGTTTTTGGTCGCAATACTCACCCCTATCAATAGGCTATGCAGATTTTGTTTAATTTTCAATTTTTTTTGTTAGTCTGAGACTAAACTTCACAGCATAACTTTAATGAAATTAGACACTCGCCTCTTTTATTCCATATGCAGCCCGTTCTTTCTCTAACTGAGGCAGGAAAAGTCGTATAGCAGGGTAGAATGAATCTTTCTGAAATCATAGAAAACCAAATCATGTTACCATTATTAGCCAGATAAAAATCGGCTTTGAAATGGAATGAACACACCACACAGAAGATAACGATTCTTTTCTGGAATGCACTGTTTCTGATATTTGGCCTACATTATATCAGGAGTCTATCAATAGTCTATTGATAGACTCCTGATTATATCTACAGTAATCCCCGGCTTATGGAAATGATGTATCCAGGAGGATAAATTCAGAACAGTATAAACTCTAAAGGGATGTGCATTTACCATAATGCAGAATTCCACAACATGACTTCCATTATATAACCGGTGATTATTTTATTTTCGTGATAACAAATACCCAATAGACTCGAATCTAACTCACCAGAAACAACGCCGAGTGTCGTATGAGAGCGAAGGGGAAGAATGGGAGTTACAGCTAGGTAGTGGGGAATGCGCAGCTATAAGCTGCCTTCCCCTGAAATTCTTCGTCGTCATCGTCTGCTTCAGGTGCTTTAGGCTCGGCACTGGTGGTCAAAAACGTGTCCAGAGGCGTTTGACGTTTTCGGCGCATCTTCTCATGATACAGCTTCCGGTAGCAGCCGATGTCCCGGTGAATGGCTCTAGAAACTTCGAGGTTGCGCTCACGATTCGGATCACTCGCAGCAAAGATCTGCAAAGCTTCTTCGATGAGGGCAAACCCTTTCGCCATCCGCTTTGTCGTCAACTGACGTGGAGTCGACGGAGCTTCTATATCGGTGGCTTCCTGTGCGACACGTGACTGTTCCAACAGTAGCAGATCCTCATTAGACAGCCCTTGACTGAGGGACTGTAGCAGCTCGACTACGTCATTTTCGTCAACGTCTGAAAAGCCGACATCGTGTGCAAGTGCCATGATGTCTTGATGAACGTGACGTATATTCTCCACTTGTAGAGAACCCGGAGTGTGATGGATGCACTCCGGCCATATTTTCTCCAAAACACCACTCATAGCTGATGAGGTCACTTCGTCCCACGACTCGGTGATGACCTCTACCGCATCCATGATGTTGAACTTTTTCCAGAAGTCCCTGACTGCAGGCTCACTCTTACCGTCGATTGCGTTTAGAAGTTGCTTAAAGATTCGCCGCAGATAATACGCCTTGAAGTATGCGATTGCACCTTGATGCATCGGCTGAAGCAACTGCTTGGAGATATACACCACTCTCACGTTATCGGAAAGATCGTTCAAGTTCACTGGGTGGCTTGGTGCATTGTCTAAAAGGAGCAATGCTTTGTTAGCGATATTATTCTTTTCGCTGTACATTTCAACAGCAGGGCTAAAGTAGTTAATGAACCAGTCTTGAAAAAGGTTCATAGTCATTCGAGCTTTCTTATTTGAGCGCCATATCACCGGTAAGTTAGGCTTAGCATAGCCTCTAAGAGCCCTTGGATCTTCAGTATGGTACACCATTAGAGGCTTCAATTTCACATCGCCAGTAGCATTTCCTCCTATAAGAAGTGTTAGGCAATCTTTGGAAGCTACAAAACCTGACGTCAAAGTTTCTTCTTCTGCAATAAATGTCCTAGCAGGCATGCGCTTCCAATAGAGTCCAGTTTCATCCACGATGTACACTTGCTCTGGTGTGTAGCAACCTTCGTCAATAATTTTCCTCAGCTCGTCGAGATATTTAAACGCAGCTTCTGAATTCGCACTGGCAGCATCACTGGTTATCGTAATGTTGTGCATATTAAATCGTTTCTTAAACCTTTCAAACCAGCCTTTACTAGCTAGAAATGGCTTCGCTTTGGAAGTTGCGCCTTTCTCTTCCTGCAGATCATAATATAAACTTTTTGCCTTTTCCTGAATGACCGTTGTGTTTATCGGCTCCTTACTCTGGGCCTGGTCCTCAATCCACACACTAAGCAGTCGTTCCATATTAAGCATCACATCGCTTCTATGAAAGTACAACGTACGAGCCGTTAAAGGCGTGGCCGCTTGTGCGCTTGACCTAATCTTGTCTTTGTTGTCCCGTATCGTACTGATAGTTGACGTAGCAAGACCCATCGCCTTTGCGATGTGACTAAGCTTTTCACCATTGTCAAACCTCCGTAAAACGTCAAGTTTTACATCCAGGGTGATTCCTTTGCGGGCCCTCTTAGCTCCACTGCTTGCACTTCTGCTGGATGGTCTCTTTCTTCTCATCTTCAACAATGATAATACAGTCGACAATCTTCACTAAACTAAGTATGAAAGCCAAGAGGGAAGATGCAGGGAACACCAGGTAAAGGAAAAAAAGGAAAAAGTCTGCCCCATACACACATTGTCTTCACCATAGTCATCGAAGCTAAATTTGACCGACTGCGACCGATGACCGATTTACTGACAGGGCTCGAATTTGTCACTTTAGACACGCATGATCATTTTGAAATAAAATGCCTGTAAAGGCATATTCACAGGCTGAAATGTATTTGTCATAATTTAAAAATTCCGTATGGGTGAATTTTCAGTTTCCATAGCTCAGGGGATTACTATCCATAAGGACTACAAAGTATGAAATTCAAAAATCCTAATAAAGTTTATGGAAGCATAATTTTGTGACAGGTAGTAACTAGTACTAGACACAAATATACATACGGTTTTCTGATTATCCTTGTGAATTTTGTCATGAAATGATCTCCATTTTTCAACAAACTCCTCTAGCCTCTTTTTCTTCTTGTCAAGTCCACATCTTTGGCTAATTTTTTCAAGCTGATTGCATACCTCCAGAAAAGGAACCTTGGAAGCAACAGACGTTGGGACAGCCTCCTCCATGTTTTTAAACCGCCATCGTCTCCTACTGCAAAAACAGTGGTCAACAGATAATAATTTAAAGTTGTGTTTAGTTTATTTCTTTAAAATTTTATTAATTTAAATAGGTTTCTAAGGCCACCTTGATTAACCTTTACGAATACTAGTACCAGAGGCGTGTTCAGGAGACCGAACGCTCGCGAGCGCTCGCGAGCGCTCGCCTTCTGAACGACACTGCGCGAGCAAGCGCTCGCGAGCGCTTGCGCGCAAGTTTGAAAAGCTGTTCGCTCAGTGCGCGAGTTGTTTACAAGATGGCGACGAAAAATCTGGCGAATGCGAATCTAACATTTCTGACGTCAATTTGCAATCTATTTCAACTTTATTTCACTTTTCAT